GTTTGTCTGGGAATTACAGGGTCCCTGGCTTGTTTGCTGTTCACAAAGGTTGTTTGGAAAATAGGTGTTGCAGTTGTGGGAAAGCCATTGTGACAAGAATGCAAAAGTATTAGGGAAGATTTAATAACTGGAGATTCAACAGGAGAAATTACTTGTGTTTATYTGAGGAGTTTACCTTGGTGTTTTTGGAAAAAGCCTCTTGAAACAAAGCTGGGATTRTTGACAACAAGAGTTTCAAAGAGGTAAATGGTGGAGATGTTGCAGGAAATTCACATAGTCTTTGTGCCTTAACAGTCAGAAGATGGAAGAAGCCAAGTAAAAACACGATTTACCAATGTGTATATTAATATTAACTAGTGGAACGACAGGGCTTGTTACATTGAAAGTAATAAATAACYTGTAAGTTATAGTTAAGGAATATATTTGATTCATAGACAGGGTATGAATAGCAGGAAASAACATGTATGTTTTTATACAGTTGCAAGTGACCTGGAAAACAAAATGGAGATTTTAAATTAGTGTTTCTTGATGTAAAACTGGATGCTCCACACACATTCTTGCACACATTATTGTAACCCTTGGCTGTGACAGATGATATAAGCAGAATATCRCCTTCTAACTCCTTGGCTAGTGGAAACTGGCACAGCTTCAGTGATTACTTTTGTCAGGATTAGTTTCCACGGTAGATGATTATACTAGCTTAAGACACTTTTCTTTCCCTTAGACTCTTCTGGCATTTATTCTAGTCTGTTGTCTCACCGCACGCTATATCTACAATTACAAAGATAAAATTGTTTGTGGTTTCAATCTGTCAAATGGATCATAAAAATCACTGACAAGGAAAATTAAACCCCTCCYTTTTCCTCTATTTAAAATGACTCATTTGTTTGTTTGTTTGTTACTTTTCTTAACCTGATCCTGCTTTTGTTATTACAGCACTCTTATTCACACTTGTGCCAGTCAAGAATGGGAAAAAGCAGAAAAGCTGATGAGAAGGATGGGAACTCCTTTAGCACGGCCACAGAGATGAAGCCTCATATGAAACTACAGGGGAATAGATCTCAAAAGAAATCTTGCACTATGCTCCCCTGTAAATACTACCATGCGTATAGTGGAGTTGCACTGTCCTGTTGGATTTATTTGTTTATTTATTTATTTATTTTGAGAGTTGTATTATTTTGAGAGTTGTATAGAGATTTCTATGCATTTAAACAATCAAAATTATGTGTTACAGACTTCACAGGATTTTACAGGCATGGCACTGAGAATGAAGAATGCACCCATGCCAGTCCTGGGGAGAGAGAGAGAGAGAGAGAGACAATGTGTGATAATCAGCAAGCAATGGCTCCGCATCAGATAATGGCACATCTGTTTTGCTGCGTTTAGAGAAACCGGGAGGATGGTGGTATAAGGTAACAGTGGTGTGGCAGTTTAAATAAAAAGAGAGAGAGAGAGAGAGACAATGTGTGATAATCAGCAAGCAATGGCTCCGCATCAGATAATGGCACATCTGTTTTGCTGCGTTTAGAGAAACCGGGAGGATGGTGGTATAAGGTAACAGTGGTGTGGCAGTTTAAATAAAACTTCCCTCCTTTCCTCCTAGCTTTAAGTTTTGTAAGAAAAAGACAAAGCCAACGTAACATTCTCTCTCCCTCTCCAAGTCAAAGCAATTCCTCCAACTCATTGTGACTTATATGTGTTTTCTAGCCTTGTAAAAAAAGCTAACTTTTACCTAAACCAGAAAAAAAAAACAAGCATCATTTGATTGAAATGTTCTCAATAAAACAATCAAAAATCCTTTTGTTCTTTTTATTTCACTGAAAATAACTCAAMTTCAGGCTTGTTTTTGTTGCTTAGAGCAGCTGAGATCCTTTATTCTATCAGCAGGCTTCCCATTGTAAGGATACGAGGCACTTCACTGTCTGAGTTTTTTTCATCCAGATCTTTCAGTCAAAATTGCTCAAATTTTGCTCAGTGTTACCACTGTTCTGCAATGAAGATGTATGTGGATTTCTCTGTCCACACAAGKTTGGATTTCCATGACAGATCATTTGCAAAAATGTTTCTGCATTGTTGCTGCATTGTTAGGTTCCTCTCTACTGCTACAATAGACAATAATAATAGCAATAGCTCTACTTCTATCTTCAAATTATTTTTAATAATTATTTTAATTAAGGAAAAGAAGCTTTCTTGTTAAAAATTTGCAACATGTTTCTCTCCAGAAAATAAAATGGTATGCATCATGATGCAATGCCTTTTTGCGTTAGTTCTTGGTAATGCTTAACTTGATGCTTAGGGTCTTCAAAACATAGTATCTACTTAACTTTRGCTTACACAGCCCTTTGAATCCTATAGTCATACATAAATGAAAAGTAACAGGCATTTACCTTACAGCGGCAGGAGTTTTAGGAGATAGGGCCAGTGGTTCATGCACTTCATAGCATGAAAAATGAGGGAAAAAAACCGCTAGAACTATATTTCTATGTAGTGTATCTCCATATACACACATACATATATACATATATACATATACATGTATACACATACATATACATGTACACACATACATATATATACATATACATATACATATACATGTATATACATGTATATGTATATGTATATATAAGATGTGTGTGTGTATACATATATAATCAAAAAAGTAATTAAAGACAATTGATATTTCAATTTACTGATTCTATGGCCTCTAATTGAGCCCATTATTGGCAACAAACTGTCACAAAGCTCCACTGCCACAATTTTAAAGAACATGGATACCAATTAAATAACCTTAGTAAATTCTTGCCACCAGAAAGAGATYACAGTGCAAAAGTTGACTGTCAACTGGAGCTGCTGAAAGCAGATTTGGGTCTAGATTGGCTTAGCAAGGGATGCAGTCCTTTTAAAAACATTGAAGAAAAAGTTACTTGTAGGAGCATTTCTGCCTCTTTAGAAGTTTTATGGCCTCAGCTGTAGGTAAGTTTGTAGACTCTGTAATAACACTGTATCACATRAAAAATGAATTTTACTTTGAGGGGCGGTGGTTGTCCATATGCAACTAGTTGTGTCCATGTGCTGTATCAAAGTGACAATCAGTAAGTTCCTGTGTGGCTAGAGATTGTTACTTTATGTACTATATTCTACCCTGCCTTATGCACTGTTCAAAATACTCCTTTTCAACAAGCAGCTATGCTGGAGGACAGTAGAGTAGTTCCTTATTTAACTAAACCATTTCAAATATTTTTTATGACAACTTTTGGGTTTGACATTACTTTCATTATTTGTATTACTTCACTGATTAAGCAACAAATCCATATTTTTAGCTCTGATGTTCAATTATTTAATTGACTTAACCTTATCATGCTTATGATAATGAACATACTGAAACGCAGCTTGCAGAGCAGAGGCTGTTTGCCTGTTACTGAAGTGAAGATAAGGTCATTGCCTGTAGCCTAMAGGATGATGCTACCTAACCAAGGTCTGCTGAGTGAACAAAAGTATTTGTCCCGCTTAATTAATACTAAAATAAAAGGAGCTCATGAACAAGGCCTGCTACATAAAATCCATACTGCAAGTATGGTGACTGAGAAGAAATTGTAGAATGAGAAGGGGGGCAATTCTGTATTCTCTCTTTACTTGGGATAAATGCAAGGCATTTTCATAACAGACGCAAGTGCTCCTGCCACAGGACTCGGCGACATTGCGGAACACCCGGGCACGTCCTGACTGGGACACACATCTGCCACAGGCRGCAGCAGTGGAGGAACGGGGAGGCTGCAGGCCCCATCTCCCAGCAACTCGGTRGCAGCCACGGGTGGGCTGCTGAAGCAGAGGAGGGGGGATCGTCGCTTTAGGCAAGGCTGGCACTGCAGGCCTCTAAAACACRACATGTGTGAAACGGGCTCGGGGTTAGACCCTTGGGTATCCAGAACACACACTGGAACGCAGTAGCTTTAAAAGAGCAAGTGCAGCCAAGTCCTCTGAGAACGTTCCCTCTCCGTGCGCTGGAGAGCTGCTCCCGGGGGAAGGAGGGCGCTCAGCTCGGACAGCGCCGGCTCCCTTTGCCCCGGGACAGAGGCAGCTCCAGTGCACGACTTCAGACAGCGACTGGCACGGGGCAGCACCGACGACGGCCGCCGTAGCTGCCCTTGGAGGCCCGACGGCCCCTGCCCGGGGGACAAAATGCGGGGGCGACGGGAGCTCAGCGAGAGCACCCCCGTCCCAGGGCCCGAGGGAACAGGGGCAGCGCCCCCGCCCTCTMCTCCAACGGCCGCCACCTCCCTCCCAACGGCTCTTCCCGCCCCTCGCCCAGTGAGGCCCGCGAGGACCCTCAGAGACCCCATGCGCGCGGCCGCCGAGCCCCCCCGTGCGCGCGCCGGGGCTGCGCGCTGCTCCAGGGCGGCAGCCAATGGGGAGAGCGGGCTCGCTTCGCTCTGGCCTCCCATTGGCCCGGAGCGTCCCGCCGCGAGTCCCCCGGCCCCCGCCGGCGGCGCGGGCGCGCGCGCCCGCCGCAGCAGCTCTGCAGTTCGCCGCCGCACCGGTGCTCGCGCACGCGCCCAACCGCCGCAGTCGCCGGGGCTCTGCGGGGCGGGGCGGCGCGGGRGCAGCGCGCTGCCCGCCGTGCCGGAGAGGCCGGCAGCGGCGGCGCGGAGGTGACTTTCCCGCTCCTCCCGCCGGTGGCAGCGGGGATGCTGCAGCCGCCGCTCGCGGGGAGGCGGCAGAGCGGGCGGCCGGCGGCATGAGGAGCGGCAGCGAGAGCCGTGCCCGGGCCCCGCGGCGGCGCTAGGCGCCCCTCGCCGCCGCCCGCGCGCTGGGGAAGGGTCTCCGCGCGCCGCGGCCACCGCCGCTCGCGGGGAGGCGGCGGGAGGGCGAGCGGGAGCCCCGTGTGCGCCGCGCGGTCCATGGGAGGAGCTCGCCGGCGCCCTGTGGAAAGCGCCGCCGCGGCTCGCCGCGGTTGAGAGCGGCGGTCGCGGGCCGGGCCGGCCCGGAGGGAGGCCGGCAGGAAGGATGTCACTGTTGCGCAGGGCGCTGCGGGTCTCCAACCGCTCCATGCTCGCCTTCATCTTCTTCTTCTCCTTCTCCTCGTCCTGCCTCTACTTCATCTATGTGGCCCCCGGGATCGGTGAGTCGGGAGCAGACCCCTTGGCGGCTGGTGGGAAGGGGGAGATGGGCAGGGGGCGCGCGGCCCAACGGTCACAACGGCCGCGCCCGGGCGCGGCGGCCTGGGCGCTCTCCACTCTGTCACGGCGGGATGCTGTGCGGGGAGCCGTGTGGGAAGGGCTGGCGCAGTGCCGGGAGAAGCGAGCTCTCCTTCTCGCCCGTCTCCTTCCCCCTCGCACCTCCCCGCGGATGCCTCGTGTTCAGCTCGCACCCGGGCTCTGCCCGCGCTCTGGAAGGTTCAGCTGCCCAGTGCTGCTAGGTAGGTGAGTGAAGTCTGGTTTCTCAGGCCGGAAAAGGGAGGCCAAGAAAAAAAAAATCAAAACCCACCTCCTTGCTACTTCTTTGTGTTATAAATTAATGGCTGAAACTAGAAAGAAGCTGTGGAGTTGCCCACTGGAATCGCCTAAATGCACCTTTCAAATCATTAGTGATTGCTTTGGTAATAGAACACGTGTGAACATAATTCAAGAGACAGTTTAAATTGTTGTCATTTCCTCTCGTCAGTAGGATTGCTGCCACAGGTTTTACAGTTAGTTAACTTGCACTTCCCTAAGTAGCACTTCAGTGGGGGAAGAAATGGTTTGTATTGGAAATGTTAACCAGAATAGCTGTACAAGTCCAGGTCAGGCTAACAAAAAAATAATGTCTGCTGTTTTCCTAGTTTGTTCTTCTGAAGTTGTTTCTGGGAAAACATGAGACAGTTTCTCATGAATGATACTTTCAGCGCTTGGTTAATGTTACCTTTGAAATAAGGCAGGAGGTATTCTGTATGTTGCTGTGATATGGCACTGTTTCATGTCTTTGGCCAGGTTACGCATTTTCTTTTTTTTTTTTTTTTTTTAGGGAATGTTGATACTATCTGCTTACTGGTGAGATCTTTCTCAGATACCAGAAATGCTGTCTCAACTTACTTCTGCAGTGTTTAAAACTCTTCTTTGCAGTGATTACTAGAAAATATCCACACTGATGAGGTAGATGAATCTCTGTGGTTCATAGCTTCATGCACACTGGTGTTTTCTTGCTGTTTAGTGTCCTCTTGTTCATATTCTTTTACCAGGCTTATAAAACCTTCTATGTAATGACTTCTCCTGCATTTACATACAGTACTTTCATACAATACTGATGCGCCCATCAACAATTGTTACAGTTCACATAAATATAAAAAATGACTAGGATATATGTCATGGATTTGAGTTCTTGAATTTCCTGCCTGATGATGTTTTCCCACTGCAGAGGATGTAAACTAGTCTTTTTTAAAATAAGTATTGATGCTACCAGTGTCCATTTAGACATTTTGGTTCTGTGAAGCACTCATGCAGTGTAATAGACTTTAAATAAAATCAGTTGGTGTGTGATTTAGGAAGCAAACTGCATTTTCACTTCTTCAATAAGTAAGCAAGACTGTTAACATCTTGCATAATATAAAGAGTTGAGGTATAAATTACTTTAGCACCATTTGAAAGTGTTTTCTTAGCTTGGTACTTGAGACTTAGAAATATGTCCACTAATGATTGAGGCTTGTTCTTTAGCCTGTTAGTGTAGGAGCATCTAACTTCTTTCCAGACTTCATCTTGATACTAAGCTACTGGTCTTTGGCTATCTCCTCATTTTCTTATGAAAAATGAGTGTACCAGTGAAATGAAGTCAGCTGTACACACCTTTAGTGTATACTACAGTAGTGACAATAAAAGTTACAACGGTAGCCTTTTACAGTAGGTTATTTCACGTAGGTTGGATCAACCCTAATAAAAAATCATATTCACTGAAACTGGTCTCTTTTCTCATCTTGGGCATATATACCGCACTTAAAATATTCAAGTCGTAGTCTTACAATATAAAAATCTTCAGCAGTTGTATCTGTTCGCGAGATTTCATCCCTTCCCAGCTACTGTTTTGAAGTGTGCTGCCCGGACTCTGTACGTGGCTGTACTGTGCACTCATCCAGCTTAAATAAATCAAAACCTGGTAACACTGGGGATTATTCTGTTACTTCCCAGATCTAGTTCAGAGTGTTACCACTCTGTGCTGGTTTTACTGAGGGAAGGAATATAGCAAGTATTGAAGGAAAGGGAAATAGGAAAATCTTCCACTGGAAATCTAAACCTGTCAACTTGTTCTACCTCCATCTCCCCCTCTCTGCCCCCCACCCTGTTTTTTTGGTAGTCAAAGAAGTTCAAACACTGAAACAGATAGAACTTCTAACTGTTAATTAGAAAAGAAAAATATGTTCCTATTCTTTTCTCCACTTTTTCAATTGGAGGGATGTTTTGCAGCAAGACTTGGAAGAATAGCATAGAAAAATAAATGATTTTCTAATGTTTTAAATGTTTAAAAATCTTAAATATTTGCATGGGACAATCATATAGAAGTCTTATCCATTCTATGAAATGGGATAATATATGACATTTCTRTCAAATACCACTTTTCTGACGAGACTTCATTTGGTGCTCCTTCACTGATAAGTGGAATGTGAAGAGATGTGAACTGCATGTGCTGTTTTTGAACTAAGCTATGTAGATGATCTGCCATTCTGAAACTGTATTGAAGTTGCAGATATCTATATATGCTGCAGTTGAGACCAAAGGAGTTAACTGAGAACAGAATCTTCGATACCGATAGATTCTGTCTCAGCATGGTACTAATAAAAGGACTTGAGTAGTCACTGTCTAAGGCTGGCTATTATTCAAAACAAATACTTAGCTTCAAGTTTAGGTCATTGAAAGGAACCTGAGATGAGAAGACTTGAGCAGAGTAACATGGCCATAGTGACCAAGAGACAGCATACAGAAATTGCTCTTACTTCACTGCAAATGAGCTGGGTGTTTTGGGAGAATTTTTTTCTGACTTTGCTTCTCCTCTCTTCTGTCAGCATCATAGCTGAAATCATATTGGATTATGTGTCTTAGACACAGGAGACAGAAACTTGTCTCTTAGTCATTGGAGTTATTCCTGACTCCATCATTTACCAGGAAACATTTATCAGACTGGCTACAGGAGCACCTTGGAGTTCTCTGTATTGTAATCACCTGCAGTCTAATTGGGCCGTCTTGAACATGACAGCCTCACAAGAATCTGTCGTGACCAGGGAAGATGCAGTCTGTTTTTAATATCAATAACCAAAAATCCTCAGCAATGGAATGAATCTGAGGAGAAAAACAGCTACTCTGCTATTTTCTGTCTTCTTTGCCTCTTAAAAAATCCTTTTACCTTTCCTGTGACAACCAAGAGGCACCTGTGGTTAGCTTCTGATTAAGCCAGGATTTTTCTTGAGAATGGAGGATACGAGATATTTCAGAGGGTGTAGAACATTCTGTCRCTGATGAGGGTTCCTTTGTAAATAACTGAAGGCCAAGTGAGATTTGATGCATATCCGTTGGTGTTTCAGATCATGAGTTGGTAAATTTGGTGTTCTTCCATGGGGAGGGACTTGAGCAGAAATGGAGGAAAGAGGGAAATTCTGTCACCAAGGTAAAGGGTGACGACTGTGTCCAGATGCTGTCTGTCCAGATGCTAAGCCCGTAAATATGACAGCGGCCTTTGTGCTAATACTCTTCGTTCCTGGCAGTGTGACAGATCAGTGATATTTCTAAAGATCTCTGTTTCATCACAGAGTAATTTAAATCAAAAGGGACCTCTGGAAGTCATGATCCAAMCCCTGCTGAAAGCAGATCTTATTAGATCAGATTGCTTAGGGCCATGTTCAGTTGAGTTTTTTTAATATTTCCAAGAATGGAGATTTTGAAGTCTCTCTGGTCAACTGTTTGATGATTGTTTTTTGTTTGTTTGTTTGTTTTTCGTAGTGTGTAGTTGGGATTTCCCATTTCGTACGCTGTGTGCATTACCTTGTGTGCATTACCTTGTGTGCATTACCTTGTGTCTTCACTGTGTATCTCCCAAAAGGGTCCATATTCATCATTTGTGTACATTCTGCTGCATAGTCAAAGACAGCAAAAATGGTCTCCTCTCCCATCAGTCATCTATGCTTAAGACTGAGCAAATCAATTTTTTTCAGTGTGAATAAATTGTTGTAATTCTATCATTCATGCTTTTCTTTCACCAAGAAATAAGCTTTGACTAGGCTTGCATATTTCTTTCTGAATTACTTGCTTCTATCTCCATCTGATAGATGCTTTTCTTAACATCTTAGGTATACTTATTTATTAGTCATACTAGTTAGAGTTCTTTATATAATATATATACATATATATGTCGTTCTTAGTTATAATCCTACCTGCATAGGATTTCATGGAAATGCTCATTCTGCGGTCTTGCTCCCAGTCAGGAAGGARCATCTTTTATATCCTCAATGATTAGTTTCGTTTTGTGGTCTGCCCTTTGCCTTCACTTTGGGATGTGTGTGTCTGTTTTGCTGTTTTTTGTTTGTTTGTTTGTTGGTTTTCTTTTTCTCCTCCATTTAGTTTATAATATTACTTGCAATATTTGATTTACAGATACTGTGCATACATGCAAGATTTAGATCATGCATCTTACTTTAAAATATTGCTAGAAAAAGAAGTTTTTTTTCCATAAATGGAAACTTGATTAACAGAATTTCCCCTTTCTGCTCTTTTATTGGCTCTGATAAGCAGTGAACTGATACTTATTCAATATTTAACCCTTGCAGTCTTCAAAAGGGCTTATCTATTAGGAGTGTTCTTTGGTGGCAGTGAGTCTCTAGGTGTTTTGTGGAATATTGAAGAAATCCACTAGTAACAGAATATTTTTGAAAACCACTCTTTTGTCTAATATGGGTTGGTTTACCTGCACTATATCAGTGAACCCTATTAAAAATATATGTCATTCTTATATTTGATTTTGATGAAGTGATACATATCTTTCTAATATATTTTCTACTCATGGAGGCATATGTATGCAGATGCAAATACAGTCTCACCATATCCATGAAACGAATTTAGATTGTTTAACTATTAGTAGTGCAAAATTGGTATTAAATATTCAAGA